AAATCGCACTTCATACATTTAATGCATTTTCACCTCGTCATGCATTGCGCGAAGGTGATCAAAATTCAATGAGAATAAAATTTTGGTTTTACAAGTTAACCGGTCAAAGTGATTCGATATTGTGCATAAAATTAACGGGTGAAATCTTTTGAGTTTTAATCTTTACCTGACTGTTTTATGAAAATACGCAGTGCATAGATCATTTTGACGTGCTCATTTAATTTTTTAACTCCGTACGCGGTCACATTTTGACCAGTTAGAACCTGTTTATTCGAGTATTTTTAATGGCATATTTAAATTTTTTTAAACTGTATTGAATGTAAATCATGTTGGCGTGTTCTTTTTTTAATATATTTTTTGATCAAGCGCCACCCGATTTGTAATCTTCACAATTGTTTTCTTTGTTTTTATTTAGTTTTAATCCAAAGAATTGTTTTTTTATTTTTAATGTTTTTTTTACTTTCATTTTCAGTTAAATAATAGAATCATGAGGGTTATTTTGTCTTTTTCATTAATTATGAAAGCTCTAAATAATTTACTTAGTGAAGATGTGAGACCCAAAACAGAACCAAGCTAATATATGCAGCGCCCCATTTCACCAAATCAATACCCTCTCTCTCCATTTTGAACACTCGAATCAAAGGCTCTCACATTTTCAAATTTGAAAAAATAATATATATATATATATATATATATATATATATATATATATATATATATATATATATATATATATATATATATATATATATATATATATATATATATATATATATATATATATATATATATATATATATATATATTATCCATCCACCTCTCTTCACTTGGAAAAATAAAGTTTGAAAAGCTACAAACAACACTCATTCTTCTCTCCTTCACCTACATCTTCATCGCATGCACTGTTTCAAAAATACCTCTGAACTCCATTTCTCCTTATTAGAGGGTAATTTAATATTTGTCATTTGTTGGATATTCTCATTAGGTCCTATGTGGCATTCTTATCATTACTACTTTTGTGTATAAATAGGTGTACTAGGTTTACATTTAAAACAATCAATTCTCTTCAATCATTTGTGGCAGCTTTATAGCATTTACTCTTTTTCTCTCTTCTTCCTCAACTTCATCACCTTGCACCAAGAAATTGGTATCTAGAGCTCTTGGTTTGTTCTGAAATTCTGGGAAACACGAGTGATAGTGAGCCGTGCGTTTGATTTTTGAATCTTGAACAAAAATCTGAAACAGAATCACACTGATTTTGTGGGTTTGGAAAACACTGAGTGAGAATCTGAGATCTGAGTTTTTTTTGTGCAAGGTTTAAGATGAATGGAGGCAGTAGTTTGAACACTAAACTTCCAGTTATTGATGGCAAAAGCTGGAACAGATGGAAGATACAAATGCATGTGCTGTTTGGTGCTCAGGATGTTCTGGACCTTGTTTCTGAAGGTTATGTTCCAGTTGCAGCAGATGCTACTGAAGAACAAAAATCAGCAGAAAGAGCTACGAGGAAGAGGGATCGGAAAGCTTTGTTCTATATCCATCAGTGTGTGGATGAAAGTGTGTTTGAGAAGATTGTTGATTCGACGACATCGAAGGAGGCATGGGATATACTGGCCAGATGTTATGGTGGTGACATGTCAGTAAAAAAGGTAAAGCTTCAGTCCCTGCGAAAGCAATATGAGAATCTCAGCATGAAGAACAGTGAGAAAGTTTATGAGTACATCTCCATAATGATTCTGATCACTAATGAAATGAAAGCTTGTGGAGAAACACTTTCTGAGCAGGTAATCATAGAAAAGATTCTGAGGTCACTTACTCTTCAGTTTGATTACTTTTTTGTTTCTATTGAACATTCTAAAAATATGGAAACCATGAGAATAGAAGAGTTGCAAAGCAGTCTAGAAGCGCAAGAGTTGCATCTGACTGAAAGAACTTCTGAGAGGGAAGTGGAGCAAGCTCTGAAAGCTTCTTTTGTCAAGAAGGACCAGAAGCAGAATAGACGTGGTGATAAATTCCAGAAGTCAGAAACCTCAACTTCTGATGAAAAGAAATATAAGAAGGGAAATGAAAGGTATAACAAGAAGAAGGTTCAATGTTACTGTTGTAAACAGTTTGGCCATTTTGCTAGAGATTGTAGAAACAGAGGAAGGAAATCAGAAGAAGAAAATATAGCTAGAGGAGATTCTGATGATGAACCTGTGCTACTGATGACTTCTGATTCTGATGGAAACTGTTCAGAAGATTGGTGGTATATGGACACTGGCTGTTCAAACCACTTGACTGGGAACAAACAATGGCTGATAGACTTTGACTCCAGAAGGAGAACAAAGATAAGATGTGCTGATGATAAGTATCTTAATGCAGAATGTATGGGAAATGTCAGAGTCAGAGTGAAGAATGGAAAAAACATTCTAATCAAAGATGTTTGGTATGTTCCTAGAATTAAAAGCAATCTGATGAGTGTGGGTCAGCTTATTGAGAAAGGTTTTTCAGTGGTTATGAAGGACAACCTCTTGACGTTGTATGATTATAATCAGAAGTTGATTATGAAGTCTGAGCAGGGAAGCAACAAAAAATTCAAGGTGAATGTAGAAACTTTTAAAGCCGGGTGTCTTAGTGCAGAAGGCGCTGAAGCTGACAGTAAGCTGTGGCACAAGAGGTTGGGGCACTTGAACTATAGAAGCTTAGGGTATCTAAGTTCTAAGAAGCTCGTACATGGAATTTCGAAGATTGTGAAGCCTCAAAAGTCATGTGAGATATGCATGAAAGGCAAGTAACCCAGATTTCCATTTACATCAGAAGTAGCCCCCAGAGCAAAGCATGTTTTAGGAGTAGTACATTCTGATGTGTGTGGACCATTTCCAGTATCTTCACTTGGAGTAAACAAATATTTTGTGTCTTTTGTGGATGAGTTCACAAGAATGACATGGGTAACACTCATCAAGTTCAAGCATGAAGTGTTTACTGAGTTCCAAAAGTTCAAGGTGAAGGCTGAGAATCAGAGTGGTCAGAAGCTGAAGATTCTGAGAACAGATGGTGGAGGTGAGTATAACTCTACAGAGTTCCAGAAGTTTTGTGAGGAGAATGGAATAGAACATGAGGTTACTGCTCCATATACTCCTCAGCACAACGGTCTTGCTGAAAGAAAAAATAAAACTTTGCTTGATATGACCAGAAGTATGCTGAAAGAGAAGAAGTTACCTCACATGTTATGGGGAGAAGCTGTTGCCACATCAGCATATGTTCTGAATAGGTGTCTAACAAAGAAGCTGAAGGAAATTGTCCCTTTAGAAAAATGAACTGGAGACAAGCAAAGTGTTAGCCATCTGAAGGTGTTTGGTTCTGTATGCTACAAACACATTCCAGAGGCTAGAAGACGAAAACTGGATGATAGAAGCAAAACAATGTTATTGGTGGGGTACCACAGTACAGGTGCCTATAAGCTTTATTGTCCAGAAACCAACAAAGTTGAAATTAGCAGAGACGTCATTGTGAAAGAGTCAGAAACATGGGATTGGAACAAGCTTCAATCAGATTCTGGTGTAGCGCCAACACCAGGGTTAGTTTCTGAAGATTCTTCAGAGAGTTCTGAAGACGAGTCAGAGTCAGAAGATGAGGACTATGAAGATGAGTCAGAATCTCAGGGAGATTCTGATAGTGGATCTGATTCTGATCCTGATTCTGATGATGATCCAGAATCTGGTGGTAATTATACTTCTGGAAGGAAAAACTCTGAAGACATGGGGTCTGGAGAACAAGTTTCCAGAAGTAACTCTGAAGGTGGTAATTCTGGACAAAGTCCAGAAGCTAGCATTGTTCTGTGTTCTGGAGAATCTTCAGAACAAGATCAGAGGCCACAGATAATCAGACGAATACCAAGTAGGTTTGCAAATTTTAGCATGTTGCATGATACTGAAGTAGATTCTGAAGGAGGAATCGTTCAGTGTGCCATGTTAGTAGATTCTGAACCAGTGAGTATTGAAGAAGCTCTCAAGAAGAAAGTATGGTTGAATGCCATGAAAGAAGAAATTGAGGCTATTGAAAGAAACAAGACTTGGAAGCTGACAGAACTTCTAAAAGGCAAGAAAGCCATCAGCGTCAGATGGGTTTTCAAGCAGAGGCTAAAGCCAGATGGATCAATTGGCAAACACAAAGCGAGACTAGTGGCTAGAGGTTTTCTTCAGAAACCTGGACTAGATTACTTTGAGGTGTTTGCGCCTGTAGCTAGACACGAAACAATCAGACTGGTGATTGCTTTAGCTGCAAACAGAAATTGGCCTCTGATGCATTTAGATGTAAAATCTGCATTTCTGAATGGTCCATTACAAGAAGAGGTGTACATTTCACAACCTCCTAGATTTGAGAAAAAGAATCAGAAAGGAATGGTATTTAAATTACACAAAGCATTGTATGGATTGAAGCAAGCACCCAGAGCTTGGAACTTGAAGATTGAAATTGGTGTTGTTAACTTCTGATAGTTACTAAATTACGGGATGGTATTAGAGGGTAATTTAGTATTTGTCATTTGTTGGATATTCTCATTAGGCCCTATATGGCATTCTTATCATTGCTACTTTTGTGTATAAATAGGTGTACTAGGTTTACATTTAAAATAATCAATTCTCTTCAATCATTTGTGGTAGCTTTATAGCATTTATTCCTTTTCTCTCTTCTTCCTCAATTTCATCACCTTGCACCAACACTCCTCCATCGTGAAACCACCAACAACCATATGCACCGGTCATTTCTTTAACAACACAACAAACTCTGTTCATCAAAACCAAATTCACCGCTCAACAACTCCTTCCGATAATCACCGTAAAATCGAAACACACCACCATACACTACTGAAATATCCACTGAAAACCACCATCACCGGTGCCTCAGTACTCCTTCAAACTCACTCACCAAACCAGATCTAACAACTTTAAATCGGTTTACCTTTGATGCACTTCCTTCCTCCCTTTCAAAGATCTGGCCGTGAACCATCTCCAACAATCTTACGTGCACTGTACCTTGACATATATCTCCGCCTCGGTTCCATTTTTAACACAACCACCTTGCATAAAACCTTCTGATCTAATACAAACATACACCAACCGAAACATGTTTAATTCACTCCTCCATGCTGCAGAACAGTTAAGCAACAACAGTTTCTCCACAGACCGATCCAACAACATGATCGTGAGAAACATCACCACTTGAAACCGTGAGAAACTTCAACTAATATATTTCCGTGCGTTTTCTTGTCTGTATTTAACCAAACTGGGTATGCAAACTTCCGATCTGTCAACAAAAACAACTCAACTTTCATCTCCCCTATCACTGATTTAATTTTGGTTCCACTTTGTGTTGGTGCTGTTTGGTTTGACACTTTTTTCCTGATTTAGATCTGAAACTCTCAACAGCAACAACAATTTGACAACAACGATGCGGAAGTAGCTTCTATTTTCTTCACGTTTGGTAACCAATCCGACTTAGTTGTTTTTGGTGTTTCATTGTGTATATTATTTTGTCAATTGTGTGTCTATTCTTTGCTGGATTATGCTAGATTTCAGTTTGTAATGTTGTAACTATTCGCATTATAGTGTTGATGTTTATTATTTTCCCTTGCGTCACAATTTCAAGAGTTTTAATTCAGTTTAACTCTTGAATATGTTTCTAGTGCATACATTGTCAATGGCGTGGTTTGATCTTAAGGGTTATATTGATCGCGTGCTTTCCCAAGATCTGTGCTCCAACAGTGCTAACGATATAATATTTTAAATATATTCAGGGTTGTGTTGATTTACGTTTGTTTTATGATATGTTGAACTCAGATTGGTTATGATGAATATTCACCGGTTGGTTTAGATTATTTTCCGTGTGATGTTGTAAATATTTGTATTATACTATGATTATTCGATCTGGATTGTATTGCGTACTTTTTTATCTGTTTTTAATGAGCACGTTAGCAATGTATTTGATTTTTGGTTCGTGTGCAACCTTCCAACTTGTTGACATTACGCTAACTCAGATTGATTTATGATATACTCCCTTTACTTGTCGACATGTAACGTCTCTCTCGTTACGATGCGATATACTTTAATTATTTGTTCATGACTTCGACTTGACCGCGATGAGCTCCATTGCTTTAGTGACTTGCCATATTTTGTTAGCGTGAGTTACTCCACTCCATTGTCGTCAAGCAAACATAGATACGTGAATAATCAGTATTTTGGTATGGCATCAATTCGCATTTGTTTTCACTATTTTGTTTTATCATGTAACATCAATCTCTTGTTACGATGCGATACTTCACTTTACATTTCGTTTGCTTTTCGATTCGATAGCAATGAACGTGTATTGGTTGCGATTATCGCATGCACATTACTTTGCCTATCTTTTGTTGCTCTCATGTGAGACATTGTTTATGTTACGATTTGTACTTTCAAGTTAACTCATCTCATGGATCGTCTCATTCTTCGATACCATCACATTACCTTCCTTAAACCATTTCACAATAAAATCAAACCGATTTCAAATAAAAATCAGATTAAACGCTTAATCCAATGTCAAGTCGTTTTGTGCGCGAATTTTTCTCTCCTAATAAACAAGTTGAATGGACGAGTTAGACATATGTCCTACTTTTCTAAATTATTCGAATAGTTGTGATCCAATTAAAACACCTTAATTAAGCGAGTTTAGTTCAATTCAATAAACAATAAATGAGTGAGTTAGACATATGTCATACCTTTCTCACGAGTATCTGAATACTAGCCGTATAGCTTGGTCATTTGATACTCATTCACTGTTAAAGGGTTATGACTAAATTTGTCTCACTCTTTTTCCATAAATGGATTAAACGGACGAGTTGGGCGTATATTCTACTTTTTCTCAAGTGTTTGAATACAAGTCGTATATCTTAGACATTTGGCACTTATATCCTCTAAAATCAACTTAACCCAATCAAACTTCTTTTTCTTGCCCCGTGCGACTTCGGAAACATTTTCACAAAAGACACGTTTATCCATTCTAACGCGACACAAAACAAACGCTTAAGCCTCCCCCGCGAGCGTAAATAAGCAATGTTTAACCGTTAGAATGTGATCCTAACACTGTTCAATAAAATCAACCAACAAATATGTGGTATTTTACAATGAAGTATGAAGCTCTGACTTTCCCATTGCACCTGAGAATACGTAACAACAAGATTTTGAAATTTTGGCGAGCACAATAATAAAAATTCTAAAAACTATTTTCTTTCTTTTTCTCGCATAATAAGTAAAAGATCACAAACTAACATCACACTTACACTCATTCGTAAAACTAACTAAACGGACTATGTTGAGTACAACGAATGTGAGGGGTACTAATATTCTCCTCTTGCATAATCGACTCCCAAACCCTCTTTTGGTTGCGACGATCATTTTACATTTCTTTCGTGGGTTTTATCGATATTTTCCTTTTCATTTTGGAATAAATAAAGTTCAATGGAGACTTTGTTGTATTTCAAGCGTTCCTCACGCTCGGGTATTTTACAGTTGGCGACTTTGCTGGGGACAACTTCTCCTAAGCGAGTCCGCCCTAGTTTAGTTATTTTTGTGTTGAGTGTTTTCTGTTTTTATTGGATTTCTTATTTGTGTTTGTATCTGATATTTGCTGCATGTTTACTTTCCTGTTATATTCCCATGATGTTGATTTATATGATGTGTTAGGAATTCTCTGGGTGACTTCATTGGTACTATAAGAGAGGCTCTATACTCGAGTCTGTGAAATCACATAAGCTAAGATGGTGGTTGTGTAACGTTCGACCTTCTGGATCCATGCCTTACTTGGTTGGAACAAAGACCAGTAGATATGTTTGGGAGTGTTATTAGCCTACAAGTATTTGCTACATTGATAATATTTTCACTATGGGTCGATGACTCTAGGGACCTTTTGTCTAGAATCCTCAAACCCGTTGTTATGACGTCCTCTGTGTAGAACCTGAGTCAATAGTTATTTAGTGTTGACATTATGGACATATGTCTCCATTGGTTGGCACAAAGACCTCAAATGGAGTATAACCCCTTGAAGGTATTATTGGCCTGCAAGTATTTGCTACGTTGATAGTATTTTCGAACAGGATCCATGAATCTAGAATATATTTATCTAAAACACTTAGATCTAACCTGTGAGGGGATTTTTGGGTTGATGTTAACCAAATCACTACGCCAAAAACTGCTTTTTGCAGCGCCTCTACTAAAGCGCTTATTGAAAAAGCGCTGCCATAGCCTTCACAAAAAACAAAATTAAAAAAAAGGGAAACCTACGAAGGCGCTTTTTTAAAAGCGCTGGCATAGGTGGGGGATACGAAAGCGCTTTTTTAAAAGCGCTGGCATAGGTGGGGGATATGAAGGCGCTTTTTAAAAAGCGCTGGCATAGGTGGGGGATACGAAAGCGCTTTTTTAAAAGCACTGGCATAGGTGGGGGATATGAAGGCGCTTTTTAAAAAGCGCTGGCATAGGTGGGGGATACGAAAGCGCTTTTTTAAAAGCGCTGGCATAGGTGGGGGATATGAAGGCGCTTTTTAAAAAGCGCTGGCATAGGTGGGGTATTTTGGTTATCAGTGCTAACACAAACCCTTCGCAACCTTTCCTCTCCGAATCGAAACCCATTTCAGGTAAGAAGAATCCTTTCATTCCTCATCGTATCTCATTGCAATCCTAATTTCTTCAACAAATTGTATAATTTCCAGTAAATCGAAGAGTTCAAAGGAGAAAATCGCTTCAAGGTTTGATTGTCATACTCATACTGTTTCTTTTCCATGTTTGCTTGACAATAAAATCATTACTTGACATACTTATGCTATTTCATTTCTTCGACTGATAGAGTTGCACATTGACACCGCAATTTATAAAATTGGTATGAATTTATCTGTGTTAGTTGAAAAGTTTTCACAGTTCTTATTCGATCGATTCTCCATGCTTCAATGATGTTCTTTTCTCCAAGTTTTGACTTTTTTAGTTTGATTTTCTGATGGGTTTATGTGACTGAGATGAAATTTGAGGTTTCCTTCCCCAAGTTTTCATAGTTACTATTAGAGATTGAAGTTATTGATATGAAAGAATGTATTATGTAGAACAAAGAAACTACTACGTGCATTTATCATTGACAACATATAGAAATTGGGTTAAATTATCATCCTAGACTAATTTTAAGCAAAGTCTAATCATTAGTCTTCAAAAAATAACCGAGCTCATTGATGAGTTTTAATTATGAGTTTTGGATTATAAGTTAAAGTTCCAGAAAGACAAATGGTATATGAGGTAATAGTTGCTGGCATTGACTACTGATAAGTATGTATTTTAGTTGTTTGTTTCTACAAAATTAGGTTTTATGGTCTTATCATTAAATCTTTGAGATCTAAGAATGAGGCAAAGTTTACTTGGAAATTGTTGTACATGTTTATGAGTATAATCCTCATTTTGAGTTGAGGTTAGGGACTGCATCTATTCATATTTTATGTTGTGTGTGCTTAAATTTGATTGTAATTTTAATTGTTTTGAATATCTTCTCTGTGAGTTTCTATGGCTAACTGATGTACACGTGTAGCACAAGTGAAATGTGTAGCATTAATGAAATGTTTGTTGTTTCCAATTTTAAATTCGTCTGCACAGTCCTACCAAATTGATTAGATTGTTGTTAATTGGTGGAAGTAGATGTTGGATACTTGATTTTACTATTATCAACTAATAGTATTAAGTAAGTTTAGTTCATTATATCTTCACTATTAGCCGAAGTACGTGGAAGTGTATATCTAGTTCTTCTATTTTTACTCACTATGTTTTCATTTTGTGTGTCTCAGCTGGAAGTACGTGGAAGTGTATATCGCTTCTTTAAACCTTCAGGTAAGCCAGTCACAAAACCTTTCTATGAATATAAACTCTTGATAAGTTAGTATTTCTATTTGAGATATGTTATATTATGAATTAATGATTTCGTTTAATTGTTTGTTTCCAACCTTCGATTCTGCGATTCTTTGATGAAAGGGAAACGGTTGGCAGAAGATCTGAAACGAACATGGTTTAAATTTACCAGTGTTTTTGATGCATGACAAGTTAGTGTAGGTACTACGAACCTTAAACCAAATTTCTTAAATCCTAATTCAAAGATTTGGTGCATGACAAGTTAGTGTAGGTAATAGGAACCTTAAACAAAATTTCTTAAATCC